TAGAACGGACCCCCAAGGGCCATCCAGTCCAACCTTTAAGAGATAGCTAGATGGCATCCTAGAGTCAGAACGGACCCCCAAGGGCCATCCAGTCCAACCTTTAAGAGATAGCTAGATAGGAGTTGGAAGGGGTCCCCCAAAGGCCATCTAGTCCAACCCATAAGAGATAGAGAGATAAATAGATAGGGAGGAAGATGGCATCCTAGAGTAGGAAGGGCCCCCCCAAAGTCCATCTGATCCAAACCATAACAGATAGATAGATAGATGGATGGATGGATGGGGTGGATAGACCCCCAAAGGCCCTCCAGTCCACCCCCCTTCTGCCATAAAGGAGCCCTCCTGACAGATGGCCACCCAAGTTCTGCAAATAACTGTCTGTCCAAGGCCTAACAGCGTCCTTTTCCTCTCTTTGCAGCGGCTGGGGGCCCGGATGGCAGCCAACATCCTGCACTTGAGCCTCTGGGGCCGGGAGCTCCTGGCGGGGGGGCTGGGCTGTGGCCTGGAGGCCATGGTGTGCTGGCTGCTCCGCCACTCGGCCGCCGCGCTGCTGCAGGACCGCCTGGCGGGGAGGGCGGGCGTCGAGTCCCGCCTGCAGGCCTGCTTCCTCTCCCGGCTGGACTGCGCGGAGCTCTGCGAGGCGGCCGCCCTGCTCCACGCCTGGAGGGAACCCCAGTAAAAAGACACCCGGCTTCGTTGAAGCAGTCTCGGCCCAAATATGTGGGGGTCTCGGAGGTGCAAAGAGGGCGGAGGGAGGTCCACGCGCAAGGAGGCAAAGAGGAGCACGTGTAACGTGTTCCTAGAAGGCATGCTTCTCAAGCACTTACAAAACTAAAACTCTGGTGGTGAAAACTAGGGGGCGCTAGTGCTTGGCTTCTCCAGTGTTGCTCAAGTTCTGGTGGTGAAAATTCCAGAACTCTAACAAAACTTTCAAAATTTCATTATAAATTGCAGTTACTAATTGGTTCTGTCATAGAAATCATCAATAATGAAATAATAAGGAAATTTTGAGAGTTTTGTTAGAGTTCTGGAATTTTCACCACCAGGACTTTATAATGAAATTTTGAGAGTTTTGTTAAGAGTTCTGGAATTTTCACCACCAGGACTTTGTAGTGAAATTTTGAGAGTTTAGTTAAGATTTCTGAAATTTTTTGTTAGAGTTCTGAAATTTTCGCCACCAGAACTTTATAATTAAATTTCGAAAGTTTTGTTAGAGTTTCAGAACTCTAACAAAACTTTTGAAATTTCACTATAAAGCCCTGGTGGTGAAAATTTCAGAACTCTAACAAAACTTTCGAAATTTAATTATAAAGTTCTGGTGGTGAAATTTTCAGAATTCTAACAAAAAATTTCAGAACTCTTAACAAAACTTTCAAAATTTTGAGAGTTTTGTTAGAGTTCTGAAATTTTCACCACAAGAACTTTATAATGGAATTTTGAGAGTTTTGTTAGAGTTCTGAAATTTTCACCACAAGAACTTTATAATGGAATTTTGAGAGTTTTGTTAGAGTTCTGAAATTTTCACCACCAGGATTTTATAGTGAAAGTTAGAGTTCTGAAATTTTCACCACCAGGACTTTATAATGAAATTTCGAAAGTTTTGTTAGAGTTCTGGAATTTTCACCACCAGGACTTTATAGTGAAATTTCTAAAGTTTTGTTAAGAGTTCTGAAATTTTCACCACCAGGACTTTATAGTGAAATTTTGAGAGTTTTGTTATAGTTCTGAAATTTTCACCACCAGGACTTTATAGTGAAATTTCGAAAGTTTTGTTAGAGTTCTGGAATTTTCATCACCAGGACTTGAGAATTTTGTTAGAGTTCTGGAATTTTCATCACCAGGACTTTATAGTGAAATTTCTAAAGTTTTGTTAAGAGTTCTGAAATTTTCACCACCAGGACTTTATAGTGAAATTTTGAGAGTTTTGTTAGAGTTCTGAAATTTTCACCACCAGGACTTTATAGTGAAGTTTTGAGAGTTCTGAAATTTTCGCCACCAGGACTTTAGAGTGAAATTTGAAAGTTCTGTTAGAGTTCTGAAATTTTCACCACCAGGACTTTATAGTGAAATTTCAAAAGTTTTGTTAGAGTTCTGAAATTTTCACCACCAGGACTTTATAATGAAATTTTGAAAGTTTTGTTAAGAGTTCTGAAATTTTCACCACCAGAACTTTAGAGTGAAATTTTGAGAGTTTTGTTAGAGTTCTGAAATTTTCGCCACCAGGACTTTATAGTGAAATTTCGAAAGCTTTGTTTCTCCCTATGTATCTTCCATTTTCCCTATGCATTTCCCCTCTGTATTCCCCATATATTTTCCATTTTCTCCTGTTTTCCCCCTACTTTTCCTATTTTTCCCCGTTTTCCGCTATGCGTTTTCCTCTATTTATTTTCCTGTGTGTGGCAATCCTCATCTGGTCTCTCTTGACTTAACTTGAAAACCAATCTGATTCGAAGCGATCTGACACAAGGTTTTGCCTCCTCTTCTGCGAGAGAATCGACAAAAA